AATGACCAAAGATACAGCATTTCGAACACCGCCGTGGCTTCCAGGCATACTCAACAGCAACTGTAAACAAGACATCACGAACCTTCACCTTAACAGACGATGGAAAGGAAGACGCAGCGCGCATCTCCACACTAATACGGGCAAAAGACAGGCGGCTACGATCCTCAGTAGCCTTATCAAGACATAGAGGCACACCCAACACACTGTCAATAACACTAAGCCCCCGGGGAGTCCACAGTTCAAGCGGAATATTAGACAATTTAACCCAGACTGGAACAGAAGCAAAAGAAAAAGACTGAGGAACAATACCAGGAGTCCAAGGACGAAGGAAGAGCAGCTTCCCCCCAATGTGCCACGGCCCATGGGACAGAACCCAATCACAGGAAGAAGCATGTAGGAACTGGAACACGATGAGCCCGTCATCTAGATAAGTAATAACCGGCTCCTCCAGACTAGCCCAAATCCGAGCCACCATACGGGAAACCACAGCATAAGGAGGCCGAGAGTCTAGAAATTGACCCACCAAAGAATTAGCCCACAACTTCTCTCCCTCCCCAACAATATCATCAGAGGGAACCGCAACGAGCTCCCCATCCATCACCACTGGAGGAAAACACTCAAGCCTAGACGCCGCCCCCGAAGATGAACCAAAAAGGCCACGATACTTTACCCAGATATTGTACTCCAAAATTCAAAATCATCAGCATACTTTCCAATGGTAAAAGAAACAAGAACTTGCTTATTCACCCTTACCTCCCCACAATCACTCAACCATTGAAGCTTATACGGTCTAGGATGTGGTTTAGTCTCTAAATTAAGTCTCTTGACCAGAATTGAACTCACAATATTGGTGCAACTACCACTGTCGATCACCATACTACAAGGTACAGATTGAACAAGGCACGTAGTGTGAAATAAATTCTATCTTTGGTCTAAGCTATCCTCCTTAACTTGGGTGCTTAAAGCTCTCCTAGTGACTAAGGACATATGTGTAGGGTCCTCTTCACTATACTCCTCACTATCACAATCATCATTTTCTTTCTCTATTACCTCATCTTCCTCTTCATCGTCCGTCACCAACTCTCCCTCCCTAAGGACCATAGTTCTCCTATTAGGGCAATCTCTACTATAGTGACCAACCCCTTGACATTTCCAACACTTAATGTCTCTATTTCTTTCCTTAGTCTCATCAACCTTTTCTTTCCCCTTATAAGAAGTCTCTCCCTTATCCTTAGGTTTCTCACTTAACTCTCGGGTCTTAGACTTATATTCAGCATGCTTACTATCCCTTTTCCATATAGAAGTACTTGAAGAAGGTTTAGTAGAATACCTTTGGGACTTTCGTTGGAGTTGCTTCTCGATCTTTATGGCAATATGCAACATCTCCTCTATGTTAAAGTAAGGTTGTAGATCAACCTTATCAGCAATCTCCTTGTTTAAGCCATTCAGAAATCGAGCCATGAGATTCTCCATATCCTCTTCAAGATCAAGTCGATCCATCAACAAATCCATCTGCTTGTAATAGTCCTCCACAGACTTGCTACCCTATCTCAACACTTGTAGCTTTTGCGCCGTGTCCCTTTGGAAATGTCTAGGAACAAACTGTCTTCTCATCAGCTCCTTGAATTGATACCATGAATCGATTGGCGCCTCAAGATTTCGTCTCCTACTTGACATCAATTTGTCCCACCATGTTATTGCATAATCTTTAAATTGAGCAATACATAGTTTTTACCTTCTTTTCTTCGCTAAAATTGTGGCAGTCAAATACGTACTCCACTTGCTTCTCCCACTGAATGTAAGCCTCCGGATCAGTCTTACCATAGAGCTTTGGAAACTTCAATTTGATATTTCCCAAGTTTCAATCAACATGAGCATCCTCCTGTGGAGCTCTCCGTTGGAGATTATGGTAGCCTCTTCCTCGGCCTCGCCCTCGATCTAAGCCACGACCAACATGTCTCTCTCCCCGTCTTGGAGCCGCCAAGACTGTAACTTGATCATCCTCCCAATGATCAGATCCATCACCTTCATAATCATCCTCATCTAGAACACGTGGTGGTGGAATTCTCTCCGGAGCTTAGTTTTGAGCCTCTAACCTTCCTATCCGCTCTGTCAAAGCCTCCATGCCACGAATCAATCGTTCCATAGTTTCTTCTAGTGCCTCTCTCCTTCGGGCATCGGGAATGGTATTATCTTCAGGATTGGACATGCTGCAAAACAAGTTAAAGTAACAAGAAATGGACCTCACAAGCACTCCCTCACGTGTTTCCACTCGTTAATGAATTTCACTTGTGTTTAACACTCAAACAATGAATCACTCCCTCACAAATGCTCAATCTCACCCTCTCAGCAAAGTACACTACAATATTGAAAAGTAAGCCGATGAGCAAGACTGCAACTCAAGTGATTAGATAAAACACACAAAGAAAACACTCAAATAACTTGATATAGGAGTAAATTCAAAACTCAAATCAGAAACAAGCTTAAGAAAGAAAATGACCAGAATAATTAAGATGGAACAAGAGGAAATTTAAAAGACCAGAAAATGTAACTCTTGAACAATTAGGCTATTTTGAGAATTTATGGAGTTTAATTCAGCCTTTCATAACAGATATGAGTTACACAAGAAAAACATCTTGAGCATTTGAACAACAAAATGCTGGAAATTAATTGAGACAATTGTAACCTCCAAAAATTTAATGAGTAACGGTTAGTTGTGGAAAGAAATCAAAACATAATTGATATGATTTATTACCAACAGCTAGATTAACAAAAATATGCAATTTCAACAGCACAACTCAGATCTAGCACGATTTGGAAGTAGAAACGTAAAGAACAAAGAAGAACACATGCTCTCGGGTATAGCAGTTTTCCAGAACAGAATGTCAATTTTCGAACTTTTCACTCAGAAGAAAATTGAATCAGAAGATATGAAAGAAGACAAAGTTGTAGATAAGACAGAGATCTACAAACTCATAGAAGACAACAAGACGAAACGAATAATAAAAATGACACTTTTTTTGTATTTTAGATACGTGGACAGAATGTAACGAGATGAACAATAAGAACAAAAATTTCAAAACAAAGAACAAGAAGAGCTATACGAAAACAGAAACATATACCCGATCTAGAGCGTAGTGCTCTAATACCAAATGATAAGAAAACAATAGCCAATTGGATCTAAGAACCCTTATGGTTATGCAAACCCCTAGATCACAAATGCTAAAACCCCCAAATCGAGATGATGTCAACC